AGTATTTTCTGATCATTACGTGTGTAGGGTTGACTATGTTACATAGATTATGTTGTTCACTTATTCTTTATTGCTATTACATTGGCTTTCTTTATTCATTTTGTAGAAGGTGTGTTAAAATTCCCCCATTTGATGGTGGATTTGTTAACTTTTCCTTACAATTTTGTTAATTTTTATGCATATGTGTTATGAAGTTATGTTAAGAGCTACATATAAGTTTAGAATTTTTATATCGCTCCTGACTACGTGAACTAGTTGAGCTCTAGATGATTATAACATTGGCTGACAGTATGACTACAATGTCACATGAGACCTGAGGCCAGGAGTGAGCTGCTTCCAGATACCTGAAACTGAAATGGAAACTTCCCTTGGAAATGGGAGAAACAACTGTTTGCTGTTTTTAACAGCTTAGTTTTAGGGTAATTTGCTGCATGAGAATAGATAACCAACACAATCCTATTTTCCTGTTTTCTTTTTCTGAAACTCTAATTGGACAATTATTGGTCTTTTTAAATTTTATCCTCCATATTTCTTAACATCTCTCTCCCAACCCTTTGTCTCTTTGTGAAGTATTAAGCTTAATTTATTCAGATCTAGCTCTTAGTTCACCAATTCTTTCTTCAACTCATTCTCATCTGCTGTGTAAATAATCCAGTGAGTTTTTAAATGTGGCAATTATGTTTTCATTCCTGGAAGTCCTGTTTATTTCTTCTCACATATTTTTGCTTATTTTTGATAGCTTCTTACTCCTCCTATTTGGCTGCTCATTATTATTATTATTTTTTGGACTACTGAGGGGACTTGGATGAGGATGCTGGAAGTTCCAAAAAGATTTATGTTTCTTTTTGACAAGAATCTGAAGGCACGTTAGTTGAATGTATTTGCTTGTGTGTTCCAGGGCCTCCCAGAGGTATAACTTAAAACTCTCATCTCCAGTCTTCCTGATGGGAAGCTGAGAATCTCAAAATTCTTAGGGAGACATTTTCTCTACTGAGCAAAGGCCTGAGACAGACAGGTTATGAATTACATTTATTCACCGTTTAGTCAGGGTTAAGTGCATGCTGATGGAGAGAGGTGGGAGGCAGAGTTGTTTTCACAGCCCCTGAGTCTCCAAGAAGACTGAGTTGGTTCTTCATCTAGGCAATTCCCACAGTTGGTTTCTGCAGGTACAGTAGAAGAAATGCCCTCTGGATCCTTTCTTTTTACTGGGCAAGCAAGGAATAGCTCTGACTCTTATCAAGAATGACCAAGCACTCCGTGGCAGCTGCCTGAGAACAAGAAATCCACCATTAAAAAAAAAAATTACAGTTAGTGGCTAATCATACTTTTATATTTTACTTCAAATGAAACATTGGAATCTAAATTAAAAAATTATGAATAGTTGCATCAATTATTTTTATTTTCAAGGCCTATAGGCTTCAAGAACTTTAGAAAGTAGTCTTGCTGACTGAAGGAAAATGAGAGAGTGGCTTTTGTTTAATGATTCTTAGGCTTTATAAAGGAGACCCAGAGATACCTATCAAGACCCTGGTATTGTAAACTAGTGCTTCTTAAACTACTGTGGTGAAGCATATATATTTTTTTCACCTATTTTCTTTCTTGTTCCTTCATGTTAATTAAATGTGTTACTTTTTTTCCCCTCATTCTCTTGGTTTGTAACTTACAGGGAACAAAATTCATCACGTATTAACTTACTGTTTCTCTTTTTTTCCTCCCTAATATAAGCATTGAGAGCAATAAGTCTCCTCTAAGTACTGCATTGTCAGCAACCCAGACTGAGATGTGGACCCTCATGATTTTGTTCTTTATTCTGTTACATCTTAAATGCCTTCCCAACCAGAAGTTTATTTAAGAAGAATTTGCTCTGATGCAATAAGAAAAAGAGCTGAAAAAGAGGTACAACTAAAGGAAGGAAATGGCAGGAGACAAAATGATCAGTTGTCAATAATACAAAATTATGCCCAAGATAGCCAAATGAAAAATTCTTAGAATAAGTAAAAGTTTAGTTCAAGTAAATGGATACAAAATAGACACTGACAAAATGAAACGTTTCTTCTTCTAGACCAACACTTAGAAAATAAAAGGGTGTGGAAAACACCCATACATTCTAGCAACTATAAAAATCAATAAGACATCCTAAAATTAGCCTACCAATAAATATACAGAAAGTATATGAAAACTACAAAATTTTTCTGGGAGTTATAAAAGAAGACATGGAAATAAATAGACATGCTCATAAGTGAGGAGATTTAATGTAAAGATGGGTATCTTTTCAAATTAATTTATATATTTAGAGTAATATCAATCTGAATCTCAATGGAATTCTTTTGGAAAAATGTATCCAAATGATTCTGAAATTCATCTGAAGAAATAAATGGAAATAATTTTTCCTTCCTCTCCTCCTGGGAGAGTATGCATGCCCTGTGCCCATGGATGCTTTGTGAAACAGCATCTACTGGGGAAGAATATGGAAAGGGTTCTGAAAATGAGAAGGACAAAAATGGGTGGTGGTGGTCAGAGAATATGCCTCCCTTTTTTATATACTAAGAAATATTAGGCATTTTCATTTTTGAAGATCTAAAATGGTCAAATTTCCCATCTTAAACTCTTAAATTCTGACTCAGTTTTCCCAGGTCCCTCAGGCTCTCAGACAATCTCAGGGCCTCAGTCAAATTATGTCAAGGAAAATTTTCAAACCTTCAAGGAAAGTTTCAAATCTGTCTGAGCAAATTTTTCTATCTGCTAAGGATATATTTATTTTTGTATTATATCCTGTGGATATAATAATGATATACAGTGGTAATCATATTGCAATATACAAAATGTCAAATCAACACTTTATATGCCTTAAACTTACAGTAGGTTGTATGTCAATTATATCTCAATTTAAAAAAAGATACCTACCTTTTAGGGCTGTTGAGAGTATTAAATTAATTAATATTGATAGAGTCCCTAGCACAGAGACAGGAATATTTTAAGTACTTGATTAATGTTAGCTGTTATCTTAAAAACAAGAGTTGAACAGGTATTTGTTTGTATGTATAGTTTACTTCTATGTCCAGGGTTTCTACATTCAGGGTTCTTGCATATACCTTCAGAGAAGTATTTTCTTGAGTTCTTGATTTTCTTGATTTCTCTTTTGATTCTTATACATAGAGGAGAGGTGTGCTTGTATATGATTGTTTTTATGGGTTTAGTTAACATTAAACTTTTGTATTAGACTCTGTGGGCCCACTTTCTCTTCTCCTAATGGCTTGCATTCAGAGAGCCTTTAGTTACAAAGATCATCTCAGTTAACTTTGAGGGAGGTAAAGAAGATGTGTCCCCAAAAGGCAGTCCAGTGCCAGTGAGGTGCCTAAGGGGAGGGATGGCCCGAGGATCCGGAGGGCAGCTTCTGCAAGCAGACAGGGTGTCCTACAGAAATCTCAGTTTTTTTCTGGCCCCAAATAAGGCCCCAAACTGATTCAGTCAGTTTCTCTCCCCAGGCAGAAGCAAGCTCCAGTCCATGACAGTTTATCACTTGATTTGGAAATAGTTTTTGACTGTCAGACACAACTATGTCTGAAATCAAGATTAAGGCCTGTGAGTCTCAGGTAAACAAAATGGTAACAGATGCTGAAAATTCCCCTATCTACCTCAAAAGGCTACCCTGGAGTGACAGATTGTTTTCTCAGTTAGACTTATCTTTCCAGGTGTTTTGTGGGAACCTAAGGAGTCAGTCAGTGGCTATGAGTCACCTGGCTGTGGTACAATTAGAAATTCCTAAAACATGATATAGGAGTCCAGCATCTGAGACAGGGAAAAGGAAGGGAAGCAATCTTGTATAGCTTTTAATTCTCTCCCCACCCCTTGGTGGCCTAATTTTCTTTGTTTTACACAGGTTTTCTGATCTTTATTCTAGTCTTTCTCTCCTTTGTTGTTTCCCTCCCCACCCCCCAATTCCTAACTCTCTGAAGCCAAGGCAAGTCCTCCTTATTTAAGCTGAATGTATAAAAGATCAAAATCAGGAAATTGACTTTTTGTGTAAACATGGTTAAAAGAGGAAGAATATGGAAGAAGAGAAATGGAAAAGGTGGAGATGGGGAAAACAACGAGAAAGGAGGAGGGGAGAAGGGAAGGTAGGGAGGAAAAGGGACGCTGACCTGCGAGACCAAAGTCAGAAGAGAAGTCTGTGTTTAGTTAAAAGACTAACGAGGGACAGCCTTTGCTAGATTGTGCTTTCTATCTGCCCGTGCTAGAATTAAAGAAAACAAAGGTTATTTGCAACTGCTGTTTTGGGAAAAGGCAGTTGCTGCAATTCACTAACTTAAATTTTAAGATGTTTAGACGTTGAAGATCTGCCAGAGCACAGCTTCCGTACATGTGACATCGCTCAGCAGCCTGGAGCCAATGAGGAGCTCTGTGCTCGGCTCCACAGTGCTCTCCAGAGACTGGTCGGTTGGGGTGAGAACAGTGTTTCCACTGCTCATTCAGTCTCCTTGGCTTGCCTTCCTGAAGCACGGTAATACAATATCTAATTTAAAATGAAAATGAGCAGCTTAAATGCCCTTTTCTTTATAGAACTCCATTTCATTTACAGAAGTCCGATGTTCTGTTTAACTAGTAAATACCACTCTATCCGTTAGAGCCCACGAGCCAAAGAACCTGGACAAATAAAGTCCAGTTAGTTCTTAGCAGTGCTCAAGTAGCCGTCCTCCTGTTATTATTTTTACTTTGAGGACACCTAGTGGCAGTTTCCTGGTGGTGTTCTTCAAAGGCAACTGAAAGCCGCTTGAGGATAGAATAGCAGGGGCGGAGCCTCTTCTACTTAACACCTTCACTCTGCTATCAGGACTCGCCTTCAGCCTGAAGACACAACTGCTGCGTCCCTGGGGGACACACAAGCCCTTGCCAGATTCTGGAGCCAAATCCCAACTCCCACCTCTCAGCCACCAAACCAAGTTCCCTTGGCCTTGTTTCACACGTGCTTTTTAATGAGCTCATTGTAGAAGGGAGGTGAGGGTACTTAGTTCATAAGGTGGCTGCGAGGATTACGTGAAACTCAAGACAACTAGTGCCTAGTATCCCGGAGATACTGAACAGCTGGTAAGATCTTTCCTGACCACTCCCTTCAGCAACCCTGTACGTCGGACATGGCCCTTGCTGTAGCTGTTTTCCGGACGGAAGTGTTCACGGCTCCACAGAGCCCTGCCAGTGCCATTCAGACCCATCCCCATCTGAGTCCCAGGAGCTAAACGCATCTCGCAGCTGTGGTTCTCACTGGCTGACTCGCCCAGGATTTGTCTTACAACCCTGTTCTATTAAATCAAGGTAAATCACACAAAGTTGAATTGGCTGTTTTCTGTTAGTTATGATATTTAGCATAGTTCATAGAACATACTGTTCTAATAGTAAATTCCCTGACAGTTGTGGCTCAAAAAGAGATGACAGTCAGCTCTTTGCCAGGGAAATTACTGATGCCTGTATTTTTGCATTTGGATTACATTTAGACAAGATGGTTTGTGCAATCCTTATGGCATTTACTATAAAGTCCAGTTCAATGTGGCCTTCTAGGAGCCACACATCTAGTCTCCACCCACCTCTTTAGCTTCATTTTGAGCCCCTCTTGGCATTACTTATTATGTTCCTACTCATTAATTTTAAAATTCCTTCTGTGAACCAACTGAGCTCTTGTTTTTTTTTTGCCTCATGATATTAGCACATGAATGGGCTTCTTTTTGGACCCTTCATTCTCCTACTCTTCATCTGGCTAACTCCTTCCTACTCATCTTTTGGGGTTCAGCATAAATATTGCTTTCCCGGAGAGTTCTTTTCTGACCCTAAATTAACTTTGGTCTCTTCCCTTTTTCTTTCTCCTTATACTACTTCCTAGCACCTGTCATCATTTCCAGCTATGTGTATTTGTTTATTGTCTGTGTCCCCACTAGAAATGTATCCTTAATGAAAATAGGGACATGTCTGTCTGTTTATTTATTTCCTGGACCTATCAAGATACCTGGTTCATGCAGGGCACTTATTATTGAATAAATGAAACCAAGCTTATTAATAGGAAACAAACCCTATCAATGAGAAAAGTCTGTGGGGCATTTCCACACACTACCATTTCCCTTGGCAAAGCTTTTGTTTGGTTCAGCAGCCGTGTGGGGAATGCTCGTGGCCTCAGAGATTATTTTTGGTTACTGATAGTTTCAAATGCACAAAAGTTGCTTCTTAAGAAACTTCCCTGAGAAGAATCTGTATCTTTCTACTATTCAGAAAATACTCCCCGCCCCCTTAAAACAGGCAATTTGATTAATGCCTCTTACACATCTTTTGTGCAAACTTAGAATAGCTCAAATTTCATTGAGACAAATTCCCACACAGTAGATTTTTCATAACATCAGTTTGTGGGTTGAGAACTAATCCAAAAATCCAGGTTGGTTCTTTAGTCAGTGATTAATATGCAATTTTATAGTCCTTACTCTTTACATGTGACTAAGGCTTACCTACTAGTGAACTACTATCAGAAGTATTAAGGCATTTCTAAAATTTGATATTCATAAGCACCAGTGCATTAATGAAGTTCATCAAGGATATGAATTTCTCCTTCTTTTAACATATCTGGCTGACACCTTGTCTTGGTAATTGCCAAGCTCACAGGTAACTAGAATTTCTAGAAGTACATATTGTTAGTTAACAGAGTATGGTTTTGAAATCAGTTTTACATTTCATATCCTATTAATATTGCTTTTTTAAAATTAGAGATTACTATTCACTTAGCTTAATCATTTTCAATCTGACTTGTTTATGTTTGGTTAACCTTGCAGTGTGAAAAGAAATACTTAGATCACTAGCATTTTCAGCTTATAGTTCTTCAAAAACTACCTAGACCTTAAGACTTGTACACATTATAATTAAAACATGAATCATTTTGTCTTACTTTTTGGCGTCCCAGAAAGCAGAGCCTGAAAGAAAGCCTTCTGTGCAAGCAGTTTGTTTGGAAGTGATTTCAAAAGTGAGAGAGCAGGAGAGTGAGACAGGGAAGGAGGAAATCCTATAGAAGGAGGCATTATTGACTTTACTGCTCTGATCAATGGGGGCCTAGACTCCTCTGAAATCTCTTGAGATCCTTAAAGATTCAGCTTAGGCAACCCTGCAGGTGATTCCTTCCAGCCTCCTTGAATTCCTAGATCACTCTGTATATGACCCTGTCTTATTTGAGGTTGACCTCAGGGGCTTTAGGGCACTTCTAGGCTGTCCAGCACAGTCAGTGAAGGTTTTGAGGCAGGAGGTAATAAGCAGCACAGGGCTTTTGGTGAGCTGGAGCTGTCCACTGCAGCTTGGCTCAAATCATAGGTGGTCCAAGGGGCCACGCTGCAGGGCACCCAAAACAGCTGCTAACTATCCACACCCCTGCGGACAGAGTATGTGACCAACCCCATGCGTTAGCTTGCAGAACAATATTTTATTGTTATTATTTTTTATTGATTATTATTGTTATTACTAGGAAATGGGAATAGGTGGGCATATGAGCCTGTAAGTCTTGTGCCCTGCCTAAGATGTGGTTGAACCTCAAATTGAAGTTTGTAGAACCCGAAATTGAAATTAACTGGATTCTTTCCTCTTGGGATTTTCTTCTTATTGCTGCCCTCACCCCAAGTTTGTGCTTGCATCCTCAAACATCAGATTTCAAGAAAACTTTCCCCAGATCCTTCTGGTCAGAAGTAATTTCTCCCTTTTTTTGAACTCTAGTAATCCCCGGCAGTACCTTTTGAATGGCATTTATCAGAATCTATTTTTTTAGATCTCTGGCTTTTCATTCCACTCTTAATTCTGTGCTGTTTCTGCTTTCCACATTGCCTTTATCCATTTTTTTAAAAACCTGGTTAGTTCTTAATTACTTTACCAGATAAACTTCTAACTCCACTCATCCCTTAAGATTTAGCTTAGGCAACCCTCCAGGTGACCTCTCCCTCCCTACCCCCGTCGTAATTACACTTCTGCATCACCTTGTGCATGACTCTGTTTTAACGTTTACTACACTTTACTGTACATTTAGATTTTTTACCACCTCCTCCACCATGATCCTCAAGGGAACATAGCCTGTTTATCATTAGCATTCATTGCCTCAACACAATAAATGTTCAATAAAATTAATGAGTTTTATTTCCGCTAGACATTAAACTCCTCAAAGTTAGAGATTATGTCTTATTCAACCCTGGATTTCACAGTCTAGCATAATGGCTTTCATAGTACATGCTTTAAAAATATTTGTCTAATGCTAAGGGAAAGTCCCTAAAATCTCCTTTTGTGTCTGTAAGAAAATGGGGCTATAAAAACATCTCTGACTCAAGCTGTTGGGCATCTACAGATTGCATTTCTATTTAAGAAACTCCAGCTATAAAAACATCAATGACTCAAGTTGCTATATCTGCAGACAGCATTACTTTTGTAAATTTTGAAATAAAATAGTGACTCAGGCTGTTTCAACAAGTGAGAAATGAGAAAACATATAGATAATGCACTAGATGAATCAAATTAAATTTAGAATGAGGAACCCAATTTTGAAAGTCCACCTCGTCATTGCCTGCCTAGGACTGCTCTTAAAGCGTGTAACAGTGACCAGAAAACAAAGGTATCTTGATATGTGTTTGGTTGACCTAAAAGAGTGACCTCACATATTGCAAAATGGAGGTTTTGAATTGATTACATCACAATGACTTTTGTAAAGCCTATTATGTTTTCACATAATCTTTATACTTATTTCCTTTCCATTTTCTATTTTTATAGCTCAGCTTTGGAGGCCTCTGAAATGCTCTTTTAATGCAAACGTATGTGACTATTAGTGGAAAAATGAGTTAGAAATCCTTAGGGTCAAACATTAAATTCTTCACGTAAAAATTATTCTCTTCAATTTTGGCCTATTCTCATAGTCTTTCCTTCCAAATTTGAATCTGTACTCCCACTTAAGTCTAACCTTTCGGTCCTTATAGTTGCACGTATTTGATTGACGTCTCCAGTTCTCTTAACGGGGGGTGGGGTGGGGGGTGCAGAGTGGGGGTGGCAACTTTATATTTTACAGCCACGTTGAAACTTATAAAGCAATCCCCAGGAGAAGTAACACATGAACTTCATTGCACATGAAACTGTAAATGACTGATAAGTCTATTTAATAGTGGAGGGTGGTTCTGATCCTAAGGCTATTAGTGGTCTGAGGATAGTGAAGGTAAATAATATTCCAGCCAAAGTAGTTAACAGCCAATAAATATTAAATAAATAAGGTGAGGGCTTCTCAAGAAAAAATTAGATTTATTTTTCTCTTGCAGCACCATGTGATGTATGGTGCTGCAAGAGAATTAGAACTCTGCTTTATTTTAATGCCAGTTTACTCGAACACAAACATGCATGTATATGTGTGTGTGTATATATACATATGCATATATGTATACACAATATATACAATTAATTACATGTAATTGTTATATATTAATATAATTATATACTAATTTTAGTATAACTAAATATATTAACTATATATAATTGTTATATATTAATATAATTATATACTAATTTTAGTATAACTAAATATATTAACTATATATAATTGTTATATATTAATATATGTAATATAATTAATTAAATATATATTATATTACTATATATTGTATATATATTACTATGTGTTATATAATTATATGTAACTTGGTATTTGGCTTTATATAACTTGGTATGCAATTATATGATTGATATGTACTATATGTTTTATTAGTATATAATGATTGATACAGCTGACTATATATAAAATAATTGATATAGTTCATTAGTTATAAAATAATTGGTTATATAATTATATACATATCAATTAATATAAAATTATATAAATTATCAATAGAAAATTATATTATTAATTATATAATGATTATTATTACCTGATATGCTTCAGCCATTTTGAAAGAATGGCTTTTTAGACAGAGGTCTGGGTGGGGAGAAAGAGGGAATTTGGGGTGTGCACACATCCTGAGGAAGGCAAGCCTAGCTGCCCACCATGCTGAGGGCCTTTGGAGAGCTTAAAGCTACATGTGTGACAGTAAGTGTGTTTAAGATGTGACAGAATCCCAGTTACACCACTTAACCAGCTGTATGATTTGGGTGAATTGTTTAATTTCCCTGGGCCTTAATTTGTTTTCTCATTTGCAAGGTGTGAATTAAAATAGAACCATTATAGGACTGTTGTGTTAATTAACTGAAATTAATACCTGTAAAATGTTTAGGGCATAAGCACTCAGTAAATATTTGTTTCTGTCTTCCTCCTATTATTCCTCTTCCTCCTCTTTCCTCTTCTTTTCCTCCTCTTCCTTCTCTTGTTCCTTAGTTTCCTGGTGGGACGAAGATAAGAAATGTACTAGGAGATGTAAGACACGTCAGAAAACAAGGCAGAGAGATGTCAGAGGTAATTGCCGTGGGCCGTGGCCTTCCTCTCACACTTCTCTGCCCGCCCTGTCATCCATCCTCGGCCGTGACCTGGAGGTGGCTGCAGGGACCGCACAGTTCTCCCCTCTGACCCTCTCAGCCTCTGTAACCGCAGCGCCCTGGTAACCATTAGGGCTGTGGTGAGATGGTGGCAGCACTTCTCTTCATGCTGGGTCAGGAGGCGAGCGTGATCCCTCCAGAGGCACCTGCTTCTCTAGGCTGTCCTGCTGTGTCCTTACACAAGGGACTCCACCCTGGGTGTGAGCATCCCTGGGCTGGCCGCACTACAGGACATGTGTGTGGAGGGAGGGAGGAGCTTTACTCCCATTTCCTCACAAAATAACCATTTGCTCATGGTTTGTTGCCTGCCTCCCCTTCCTTCCAGTTCACGCGCCCTGATACTCAAACAGTCACAGCAGGTAAAGGCTGAGTGCTCACTGTGCGCCTGCTGCTCTTCTAGGTGCGTTGTGCATATTAGCACCTTTCAACCTTACCATCATCGCCCGTGAGGCTTATTACCCCAGTTTCACAAATATGACAACGACGGCACAGAGAAATAAAGCAGCAGAATCAAGATGAAATCAGGCCGTTGTGCCTCTTCGGGAGGCCCCCTACTCTACTCAGCTCCTCAGAGGTCCTCCTACCTGCACTCAGGAGCTATCACCAGGCTTCTAATTCAGTCAGGCATGCCTTTTCCCTTGGTTCTTCACTTGGATAACCCCTGTTATTATTAGAAGTTAATTCAGGCAATAAACACCTATTTCACTCTGTTGCATTTGATCACTTTTTTCCTCTCCTTCACCAGACTGTTCGGTCTTATTTCCTATCCCAGCTAACGGCACAGTGCCTGGCACAAAAGACATGCTCTATGATGTCTGTGGGAGGAAAGGAAGAAGAGCATAGTGGGTTGTATTTCTTACAGGATATGAGTGTGTAGATATATCCAGCCATGTGTGCTGTCATGAAGTTCAAGATTTGCAATGAGCTAAAACACTTCACAGCTTCTCTTTATGGAGAAGAGGCTCAGAATTCCCCACATGGAAGGTTGCCCTTCTAAGGAGAAGAGGAACTCAGCAGTACTATGCTATGATTTCCAGTATTGTTTATGGTGTGATTTTTGATTGGTTAGCACTAGGTGGAGCCAAGGAGCCTTGCAGGGAAGCTGAAAAGAAACAACGACTATAACCAACCCTCAGATTGTACTAAAAAAATTTTAAAGATTATTATTTTTTTAAGATTTGCAAACAGGGGCATCATTTGAGCCAGTTGTCAAATCACATGCATTTTCCAGTGCATTTTTGCTACACTGGTTATTTAATTTTTTAAATTAATTAATTAATTAATTTTGATGGAAAAGTCATACTTTATTTTTTCTAATTTCCCTTGGAGTCAGCTTTCAATATTTAGGTAAACACTCTATTTGGGAAGATCCCCAGATCTTTCCCCAACCCCTCAGTCCTGCTTTTTTACATGCAATAAGGTTGCAGACACCAAAGGTCTGGCATATTGTGAAAAAAAAAAAAAGCCCTGGACAAGCAGTGGGAAGTCTTTTGTTTCCTCCCTTTCCCTCCACCTTCCCTCCTCTCCTTCTTTTAGCATTTTTGTAGGCCCCAAACAGTGAACACCAGCAATTCCAGTTGGCTCAGCCCAAAGGTTCTTGTGACCTTGGTTAAGTCACCTGTTCTCTTTGCTCAGTACTACTTTCATCTGTAAAATGGCAAGAATGAGTGTCAACTTGAAAGGCTATTTCTATTTTGGTTTTTCATAATTTTGGCCCCTAAATTCTCCTGTTCTGTGTCACTGACTGTGTCATTCTCCATGTCTTTGCCTAGCATGCATTTCTGACTTTTATTAGACATTTGTTAATTATGGAGTGCTAGGGACCTGAACTATGCCCCCTCCATTGTGCCCAGTTCACTGTTACTTTCCTGCAATAAGTTCTTTCCTGGAATAATTAACTCTGGACACAGAGTTACTGTTGAGCTTATTTAGTCCAATTAAATGAATACAGTAATAGAAATTCATTTTTCATTGTAGTTTTCTCCTTCATAATTCCTTTAGTGAGGCAGCTGATGTGGCCTCTAATTGTTTCTGTGGAATGTTGATCTCCTTGTAGAAAGAAATTTTACTCTGGACCATGGTATGATTATTACATGGGAAAATTGAATTAAACTCAACTTTTCACAATCATTCATCCTGAGTGGGACATTAGGCCAAATCAGTTCTAATAGTTTTCCCAATTTCAGTGTTACAGCAAATAATAGATAGTTTTTTTCAAAATACGGTTTCTATGTGGTACTGTAGTTAATTGGTGAAAGCCAGATAATGATTCTCCAGTGGCTAACCTGGTAGGTTTTTGTAAATAAGAATAATATTATCTGCTAGTACAAAATTCTCCCAGTAAATTCCTTGACACAGAAAACATCTTAAGAAAATAATCTGATGATTAAATAGCTTAGAAAATATGGCATATTATGTATGAGGTTTCACAATAAATAGCATATAAAAGGCTCTGAGAAGGCTAGTAGGACCTATTTTTGTTTGACTTTTACCTATCATTTCCAAATTTCTATGAGTTTTTATTCTCATAATATTGTGCAGAGCTTGGGATCCATGCAACATATTCTTCATTTATTCTCTCTTACTGTTAAAATTTTCTCCAAGGCCAGAGTTTAAACTAACTTTCTGTACTAACCAGTATCAATGTTTAACCTCAGGACCAAGAAAAATACTCAGAATTTAACTACTCTTTGACTTTACTTTCCTAGTAATAAATAAAGGTGAAATTATAGTTGAAAATTTATTTTGAAATTGTAGTTTCTTCTATTTTGATGAAGATTTTCCATGTCCAAAATTCTTGACTGCTATCAGTGGACCAGGTAGGTTGGTTTTCTACTCTAAACATGATGGAGAAAGGCAAACAGTTTTGTAGCAAAACCATGATATAATTTATCCATGTTCCTCATTTCCCTGGTGTTAAAACTTTTTTCCTTATATCTAATTGAAATGGCTCCTATTTTCCTTTATCCCTCTGTCTGAGTTCAAATCCAGACTCCCTGTTGTGTGTCCTTTTGCAAGTTAACTAACCTCTCTGTGCCTCACTTTTACAAGGATATAAAAGTAAAAAGTATCTACATTATGTAAAAATATCTATGTTATGAGGTTGCTGTGAGGATCAGGGGAGTGAATGCACAAAGCACAAGGCACTTGGAACACCACCCAGCCAGCCTTCCACGGTGTGTGCCGTCATGGTTAAGGCTCATGATGCTGTATTTCAGTGGTGATGGAGAGTTGATCCATCAACCCTGCCCCAACACCCTCATCATCTAGACATAACATTTCAAGAGACAGGTAAATCTTAGACTCTGTATAATCAAGACAAAGATTTCCAGATCATATTTTATTATGTGATCAAAATTCTATTTTGCCTTCTGTTCTTTGTTTTTAAGATTAATTAATCACTCAGTTATTCATCCCATATTAATGTTAACTGAGTGGCTATTGTTTACTAGGCACTATGCTAATTGTTGTAGATACCGTGTTGCATACATTTTCTATGGTTCCTGTCCTTGTGGACCTCAGAATGAATGAGGGACAAGCAAAGAGCATGCTGGCACTAGGAGAGAAGTGAGGAGAGCAGACAGCAGCTACCCAGCTTGGGCAGGGAGCTCTTGGAAGTTTCCATGGAGGAAGTCACATTAAAGTTGAGATCTCAAAGGTTAATCACAGTTGTCCATTGGGTGAAATGACTGGGGAATAACTGATGTAATGGTGAGAGGCAGCAAGCCATGTTCAAAGAACTGAAAGAATTTCTGCACTGCCTGAGGACAGAAGGCAAGGCTGGGCAGGAGGTGTATGGTGAATGATAGGGCTAGGTGTCGTTTTTCCACATTAATTAGGGCTTTTGTGAACTGTAAGGCAGGGTGATAATCTGACCAGCTGTTATCTATTCATAGCCAAGCAAAAGATTCTCATCAGAAAAACTTCCAGATGGTAGGATGCACCTTTTTTAAGGTAACAATTTTTGATACGATTACTAACAGTGCTGCTGCCTATCATCTATAATGTTAACTTGTCACTTGGGGGCTGGCTTGGAAGCCAATGAATATAAACCAATAATCTTTACACTATAACTGGGGTTTAATAAAGCTTTCCACAGGGTGAAATCATTTGTTGGTTAGCTGAAAGTCTTTCTGGAACTGAAAGACAGTTTTGTCTAGAATCAGGAAATGGCAGCACACCTTGGTGCTCCTATTAGAAGAATTGATCAGAGAACTTTGAGCTCCTGGGTGCAGTAGTAGCCAGAGAGGCTTGGCCTCCAAAGATGATTTCCTTTGTTATTAACCTGAGACAGGAGTTGAAAATTGCTTTGGAGTCTGAGTGTTAGCCTATTTTTAAAACAAACATCCTATTTTAGTCATTTGCAGCATGTGGGCCTGCTCCACTTCCTTGTATTTTAACTGTTATGAAAGATCAGTTCAAAATGAAACTCAAGTTTCTCTTGACTGTGGTACAGGATCATGCTATTGGGAATATAGTCACAATGCAAGTGCTATTTTTCTCTCTTTTCCCACAACTGAATTGTAGATCCTCTTCTCCTTTATTAAGTTAATATTTTACTCTGAAATAGTCTTGTTATCAACAAACTTATTGCATTGCAGAAAATTCTACCATAGCACTATGTTCACTTTAAGTTGTGAGTCATTTCTTGTTATATCAAAAAACGGGACTCACATTTCCTGAATGTGTTCTGCAAACACCTGCTGATTACTACCAGCTCCTGAGGAATGACCCTCCATTCTACTGGTGCTGAGACCTCCTTTTCTCGGTGTCTCTTTTTTGGTTTGTTCTGCATTCTTTTTATCATGCAGTGGTTTTGGGAAAGATTTTACCCCATTTGGGTTTTTGAAAGGAAGAGTGTTTTTGTGATTCAATCTAAATTGTAAAGGCTCACCTCATTGCAACACTCCCAGTTTATTTCCATTAAACAAATCTTCTGGATGACATTGCCCTGAATACTATTAGAAATAACTCCTAAATTCATTCAGTAAATATTTAATGAGCACTTCCTATGTGCTGGACACTATTCTTGCACCCAGGAGAGATCTATAAATAAAACTGATGACAATACCTGTTTTCATATAGCTTATTTTCTGGATAGGGGAAAAGACTACACAATAAATAAAATAAACCAAAAAGTTCTGCTTTAAAGGTCTGGAAAAACAAGTATGTACAAGTGTATGCAAGTATGTTCTAACACTTGAATGTACAATCTTTATACTCAGAACCTAAAGTATATGAAGCTCACAACATGACATAAAACATTTCCATCCCCAGAATCTGCATAGGAATGGGCTTCCATATGTGAATTGCCCTGATTGTCCTAAAATATCTTGGTTTGTCCAAATCAGAATCCAAACAAACTGCTTCTGATTTGGTTATTTCATGGAAATCCTTTAAAAGTCTGCTCTTATCTGGAATAGTGCCTTTCCCTCAGTCCCTTTTCCCAAAGTTTGGTTGAATTGTCAGTTGTCCTGTAGATTATTTCACTGTAGCAGATGCTGTCTTCGTGGACAGTGCTGAGCACCTCATATTATATCACTTCAGGAATCAAATAATGTCTGCTTGTCTCACTTTGAGTATATCAGTAAACTGAGATGGTGGAAGTGTATTATTCCTTGTGAACCTTATGCCTAATGGTTTATTGATGACCATTGCCTGAATCAGTTATTTCATTTGGGATTTTAAAGAGATGTTTTTCTTAATTCTATTATTTGAAGAAGAAAGTTCTAGGCAGAGGGATGCCCATAAAAAGACAGAGGTGAGGCCAAGTATAATATAAATGGGGTTCTAAAGTATGCTTAGCTTGTAAGGTGTGTTGGCAAACAGTGGGAGATAGATTTGGAAAGGTAGGCAGTTAGGGGGACACTGAGGGATTTTAAATGTGTCTGTCATCATGAATATATTTTTGGAATGATCACTCTGACACTATGGTGAAGCATTGACTGGAAATTGGTGAGAGTAGTTAGGAAAACGTTGCCATTGCCAAAGAGAGTGGGAAAGAGAAAGGTAAATACTTAAGACGATAGATTCAACCAGACAGAATAACTGATTAAATGGGGGTGGCGGGGGAGAGGAGTCCAGGGTCCTTTCCAACTGGGACAAATGGTTTGATAGTTGGTGTCCTTCATAAAGAATGGGAATGTGGCAAGAGTAGAACGTCTGATGAGGAAAATGAGCAAGTGTGGCTTTGGATGTCTGGAGGTGACTCTGGAACTCCTGGGTGATGGTGTTTGACTGGTGGTTGCCACTTGTGCAGGAATTCAGGAAGAAGGTTATGGATGGAGATAAAGATTTGGCAGTCATCAAAAGACAGTTAGGAGTTGAGACCAGATAGATAAAATCACTCAATAACGTGCGTAGAGAAGAGAAGACACCAATGAGAAAAGAAGAGGGCTAAGGCTATCTTCCTCAGCTATATAAACATTTAAAAGAAAAGAGAAGGAAATCTCAAAACTCAAAAGTGGCAATCAGATGTTAGTGAAAATGGAGATAAAGAACTCAAATGTAGGAAATGATAGGAACGTTTGTATGAGGTGTTGCACATAGATCAGACTTGTAAAGGGCTGAAAAATTCCCTGTGAATTTGTTAGAGACAGGCGATGATGTTGGTACGAGCAGTTCTGCTGGTGTGGGGAGGACAGGAGCCTGTCAAAGTGGGATGCAGCGTGAATGAGATGTGAGAATGGAGAAACAATGAATATTAACCACGAATAAAAAAGTCAGTGTTGAAGACTGAGAGAGAGGAGACAATCTAAAGCAGCACTGGCATCTGGGAAGGATTTTCTCTTCATTCTCTTTCCTTCCTTCCTTCCCTGGACAGGTAGGCAAGACTTTTTTTAAAAAAAAAATCACGTTAAAGACTTAAGGTTTTGTTCTAAAATTAATGGGGGGACCCTGAGGGGTTTTGAGTGTGTCCAGCGTCATGAGCATGTCTAGAATGCCCACTCTGTTAATACCATGAGACATAGACCGGCAATGGCTGACAGCAGTTAGGGCTCACGCCCTCCCTCCCTCTCCTCTGGTCCTTTTCTTTTCTTCCTTCCCCCTGCCCCCTTCCCCTCCTCTTCGTCCTTGTCTTCCTTCGTCTTCACCTGTCCTCCTTCTCTTCTCCTTCCTCTCTCCCTGCCTTTTCTTTCTCTTTCTCTCCCTTCCTCTGTATTAAACGACGATATTGCTGTGTTGATGCTGGGGGGGAATGAGCTGTTGTGATGGAAGCATTTGAGAAAGTTTTCTGAGGATGTAGGATTCAGAGCACAGGTGGGATCTGTTTCTCCTTTGTAAAATAAAGTCTAGCATGAATGCCACATCGTTATTGTGAAAACTGAGTAGAGATAAAATTATGGAAAAGGATTTTCCCACAGGAAACTCCTGTATGAAGTTAGTTATTGCTACCAGTGCCGCAGCAGCCTGCCGTTCTGCAGACAAACATTAAACTGGAGAGCTACTTTTCCTTTAATTTATATTTGAGAATATTTTCTTTCTAATACTCATGGGTTTGAGTTATAATAATTTTCAGGTTTTATGAAGTTTTGCATATGGGCAAAAAAGGAAATGGCTTCAAAAGGGAAAGAAATATTTTCCTTAATCCAATATGACTTCATCTGCTGCAGTTCCAGAGAATTTTATTTTAACGTCAGTTCACAAATGCTTTAATGGTGTTATGCTGAAGCAGTGGAGACAGCTTAATTAATTGGAATCTTTCATTACAGTCATGCTTTCTTTGCTAGGGAAGCAAGGAGCTTAGATTTTGGAGAATTCATTAAAATGTCAGTATGCATCAGTCAGAGAAATCATTTCAACAATCTTTTAATCTTAAAAATAGGGTGAAAAGAACCTTTACACTCATTTCTTTGTGCCAACAAGTAGGAGCCCAGTTGATCAATGTCATGAGTTAGAGCCCAGATTATATACACTAGCTGAAGAACTACTGGCTGATTCCATTTAATGCATAATTTTTCATCATCACTTGAAATTGAAAAGCCAAGCTGAAGTTAAAAAAAAGTACATAAGGGAAGAAGAGCTTTTGTTGGTTATTTGCTGATTTATCTTTTACAGGATAAAAGGCACAAGCAAACTACAGTCTCTATAGGAGATTTGACAGGCCTGGGATCCTCACCCGTGTTGAGCCTCAGAGGCAGCTCCTACATTTTCTTTGTGTGCTAGATCATCTTGAGGGCGTAAGGACAGAAATAGATCCTCTCCCCAGAAAAATGTTCATATTTACAAACACTTTTCATACCATTTTGGAAGTTTCCTGACACATTTCCTCCCCTGAAGTCCACAAATTTCAGGTAACAAACTGCTGGTTTATGTGCTCAGTTCCCAGAGACAGTTAAGTAAAGGAGAATTCAGCTTTTAATCTTGAATTTGAGCCCTGATATCACAGAAAGCTATATTAAACTTTTGTTTCAGAAGAGGGACTCTGAACCTCAAGGGATGGTGTGATCTGTACATTGGCTTTCACACTAGAATATATACACTCAGACCTAACTTTTCCTGGTCATTCAGAGAAAATAAAGCAGTCTTTTGATCCAAAATCAGTTTGATAAAAAAACTAATGAGAAAAAACACTTGCTAGGGAGTTGGATATTGGCATTAGAATGATGTTCAAGAAGCATGATATCCATGAATGTCCTTGTAGTTCCCAGTTGGAAATGACCTCTGGGATCCCCCACATGAAGAGCGACATGAAGGACTAGATGAGAGAAAAACTCTGTGTTTGTTTTCTGGCCTTTATTTCCTAAGTGCATGTTCTCTAATTCTTGAGTTTAGTTTCTAAATTTTGCTTCTAAATAGGTCCTGTCATTTAAATTCTTGATTTTATTCTTAAAATTCCTTTTTTTTAAAAAACATTCCATTTTTCATCTGGCATGGCACCATCTAAAGTTTGGCTCAGGGGAACTGGGGGTGAACCCATTCCTAAACACAGAAGTTCGGGAACGTTGTACTAT